GTCGGGGGTAGGCGCCGGCGGGGCGGACTATACACAGCAGCGGAAGCAGCAAGCGACCCACTGAGCGGGACAAACAATAACGACCAGGCAGAAAACAAAACCGAAAAAATATGTATCAGGGGAGATAGGCGCCGTGCGCGGGCCATGCCCCACCTCGTCAGGGGCGGATGGGGTTCCGATCGACAGGGCGGCAGCACTCGTCACACGTACAAAATGCGATCGAGGGAGGGGCGGCGAAAGAAGAAAATAAAAAGAAAAGAACAAAAAGGCGTCGCTTGCATATACTTTGCATACAGTTGAAGGGGCTGCTTTGCTTTCCCAGGCGTAAGACGGGACGGGACGGGTGTGTGTGTGTGTGTGCGTGTGTGCGTGAATGAGTTGAGCGTGAGTCAGGATGTGTGTATATGTTGGAAAGCCAAAACCGAATATAATGCAAGTTCAACGGCCGCAGCCAGCCGCGCGCGCGCGTGGCGTCCCGCCCGGCTTAGCATATGTGATCACATTGTGATCACGCACAGGCCAGAGCAAGGTGAGGGGGGGAGGGGTGAGGGCATCCAGGACCATTACAGTTCCAGAGGCGCACAGACGGAGGGTGCAGCTGGAACGGCTGGCGGCAGACGTTATCGTAGTCCACAATGGCGCCCCCCTCCCCCTCGACAAGGAATAACTACCCAGACCAACAAGCCTCGTTATAGCGTCCGGAGCAAGATAAGGGAAAAGGGGGGGGGCAGCAGGCAGTGTGTGTGGACGCATTAGGGACCCCTGGGGGGCACGGGGGCTAGGCTGCCGGAGGCTGCTGGAGCTCAAGAAGGACGTTAGTTAATTACGACTAATCCTTTTCCCGGTTAAATATTGATGAAACCGCGGGGGGGCGTATGCGACGTGGTGGTATTAATTCCCCAGGCGAGCAGGGGAATAACAAACCGCGGTGAAGACGGTGTGGGGGCGGTGGGGGCAGCAAGGGGGGCGCGCCCTCTGGCCCGGGAGCTAAAAGGGAAGTGTGTCAGAGACAGGCGCCGGCGCACGGGGGTTGAAGTTTACCTGCCCTGGCGCTCTCGCGTGGAGATGAGACCTCCTCCTCCTCCTGCTCCCCCGCCTCCACACCTTCGTCCTATATAACCACCGCACAAGATGAGAGGGGTTGGGGCGGGTCCGACCACATCCAGCTGCTCTCTGGGGCTGGGGTCGGTCAAAAGGAATGGGGCCGTCGGGGGATCCGCGGCGGTCGGTGGTGGTGGCGGTCCCTGCGGGGCCGCGCTCGCTCACATGCGCCGCGCCCCGCCCCGCCCCGCCACGCCCCGCAGCATGCTGCTGCTGCGCCGCCGTACCCGGATGGAGGGCCGAATCGATTGGAAACGGCATGATGACCGATCGAATCCGTGGCGTGGCCGTGTACTGCCGTGCCGAGAGCTTTGCCCTTCATTACAACCCAGGGCCGGACAACCCGGCCAAGTTATTAGAAATTTCAAGAAAAGAAATTTTGCGTCAGCTGTCTAAGTCGACCTCAGTAAAAGAGGATCGGCGATTAGAAATGAGCACACCGACGCCCTGTCGGGTATTGAACTGTTGCAAATTTTGTTTTGATTGCGTTTTCTTTGGAAAGGGGGTGGGGGTAGGATTTGCAGTGTGAAGGCGCCCAGGGCACAGCGGCCAGAGGCGGGGCCGTAGGCCACCTCGCCTATGGCCGCGCCATGGCAGGGCCTCCCGGGACCGTGACATTAGACTCAGAGGGGGGGGAATGTCAATGGCACACAGCCGTTGTGCCCTGTGGCGGTGCTCGCTGCTTGCTATCCAGCCGCGGAAAAATAAAAATAAAGTCAAAGCGAGCAAAATGTTGAGAATAAAACAAGACAGGATTGGACGCAATTTCGAGCTCAAAAGTCGCTCCCTCCCTCCCTCCCCACGGCTTCCAGGCCAGTAGGCGTTACCAGAGAACGCCACCAGGGAGCAGCCAGACAGCGACGGGAGGCGGTCGGTGTGTAAAGCCGAGGTCGCAGAAGGAGCCGGGAGTCGCGCCGCTCTAATCAAGCGCGAGACCGTCGCCGGGGAGGCCTCGGCCTAGGCCTCGCGTGCATCCCCTCCTTTTCATTAGGCCCCATTACCTTGGCAGACACCTCGGCACAAAGCTCCACCCCCGCGGGGGCGGCCGGGGGCGGCCGGGGGCGGCCGGGGGCGGCCGGGGCAGGCGGTACAAAGGGGCGGCCTTGTTGCTGTCAATGCGGCCTCTGCCGCTCCAGCAGTTCCTCTCTCCTCCTCCAGCTTCCTGCCGATCGTGGAGGGCACCCCGCCCCGCTTCGTCCGTTCATAAACCTAATTTCGCTGACGAGCGGCCGATGACAGCGGCGAGGAAGGGCGGTGATTCAAGGCACGCGATGACGGGGCGGAAAGACTTTGGCGAACGGAAAGCCTTTGGCAGAGCTCGGCCAAGCCCCGGCAGAGCCCGACAGACCAGGGCAGAGCCCTTGCGGCGGGTACGAGCTTCACGACTCCAGCGTCACTTTGCCGGTCCCGCCGGCATTCCTGTCGGCAGCAAGCAAGGCCGCGACCGGCATAGGAACTCGCATCAATCAATGGCACCACGGCCTCCGTCACTTCTTTTAACCGGGAGTCCTCATTCGCACGCACTTTGTAGCTATTCGGTCAGCGACAACACGTCGCTCCTCTCGACGAGCACTTCAGGAGGGAGGAGAGTCGCTCGTCCTCGGCACTCTCTCCTCCTCGACACGTCGCCACTCGCTCGCACGGACGGCACTCTAACTCGACGCGCACGGGCGTTCTTATCAGGAGGCACGCACGCACTCACTCACTCACTCACATCCGCACGCGAGTGAGTGCCTGCCTCCCTGCCGGCCGGCACTCCCCGGCCTTATCAACACGGGCCGCATTCCATCCCACTCAGCAGGATGCACTGGACTCACCGTGGGAGAGTCCACCGGTTCCCTGGAACAGACTCAGCGTGCCTCCGTGCGCCAGGTCTGCGCCGGGCGCCCCGGGCCGGACGGGGCCGGCCACTGACAGCAGCACTGTAACGCTCCTCTTCTGCCCTCCCTCCCTCTCACTCTTTCACTTTGGCACACGGCAAAGAGGGGCGGCACACGGCTCACTCCATCTCACTCGCACTGACACTGTGGCACTGGCACACACTCACTCACACACACACACACACACACACAAACACAAACTCGTCGACCACACACGCGATCACAACATCCACGCAGCGCAGCGACACAGCGAGGCGGTCCGCTCTACACGCCGGTCGGGGCCGTACTGGCGCGGCGGCTGAGCCGGGCCCCCGCCCCCCGCCCCCGCGGCCCGCTGCGGCCCACAGCGCTTGGCTCGGCTCGGCTCGGCCCGGCCTACGGACAACAGACCCCGGTCCTGCTCCTGCGGGAGTGTTCCCGTGGTTATCCTGCTGGTTCCTGCTGGGTCCTGCTGGGAACCGCCGGGTCCTGCCGGCGCCGGGTGTCGTCCAGCTGATGAATAGGGAAGGCGGCGTCCAGGCGGCGTCCGCGCGATGAATTTGCAGCGGCGTGTAACTTTGGCGTGTCCTGACCGCACATGGCGATTAGGGGCTTGCTTGACCAGCCGTGACCGCAGGACCCCGGTCCAGGACCCTCCGGGGCGGCATGTCGTGTCCACCGATGCACACGCTCTCACACGCCCTTAAACACGCTCAATAATTTAGCGCCACGCTCGCTCCGGGAGCGCGGGGGAGAGCTGGGGAGAGCGGGGAGGGGGGCCGCCTGAGGTCCCCCAGCGCACTCCAGCAGAGTGATGCACCTGCTGGAGCAGGCCAACGCTCGCCCGCTCGCTCTGGATCTCTCCGGGACGACGGATGCGACTCTAGCAACACTGTAAAAAATACCGTAGTGAGTTACGGTTTGCCTACGGTCCGTACCGTATTTTCAGCGTACGGTCAGGCCGTAACAGTATGAACTGTACTTTCTTGTTTGGGCTAAGAGCTGTATTCGACTTTCCCAACATTTTTTCAAGTTACGGTCTGTTCTGTATGACACGGACCGTAACCAAAAATTACGGTTCCGGACCAGGCAACAAATTTACAGCGCAGACCGTAGGCATTTACCGTACGTTTTTCTAACAGTGAAACTGGAGTGTGCTGGGAGCGGGAGTGGATAGGTCGCGGAGACGAGGAAAAAAAATGGAAAGGTGACTCACTAGAATATAAAAGCGCAATTATTTTTATTTATTTCGAAAGTAATGGACAATAATCGCTTTAAACCATATTTAGCGCCTTGCTTTTATTGTGCGCCCGACTGGCAAGCTAGTAATAGCAGTAGCGGTGACAACGCTAACGCTGCTACCTACATCAAGGTTAAAAAAAAACACACACAGTAAAGAAATATTCGAAGATCTCTTTAATTAAAAGGGAAAGAATGTTGTG